TTTTGACTATAATTTACATATTTTATTACAAATATTTATAAAAAAGTTCTACCATTTATAATACCATTGGTGTCATTACAATATTACGTTTAGAATACCATCCATGTATTACCATTTCCCTAATGTGAAATTCTCACAATACTGTTATCGATTTTCTGACCAGAACGTGATCATCCGCATTCCCCTTGTTCTCCATACAAATTAAAAATGATCCCCGTCCCTTTAACACACAGATCACAAAAAAAGAGTTTCCGCTAATCTATCCCGAATTACGGAGGGAGAGGTGGCATCGTCTGAGCCTTCGCCAAGATCGAATAACTCGACAATGAAAAGCTGAGCTTTGGGAAAAGCCCACCTGTAAACAATACCGACGGAATTCGTTACACACTCGAGCAGGTCCAGAGAGATACGTAAGTCCTGGATCTAGCGTTAATTAAAATTTCCAGAGGGCCGTGTGTTTTCCGGAATAAAGAGCTTCTTTGACGGTCGCGGGGATTGATATTTAATACTTTCCAGACTCGCCGCCTGGATACCCGGTCTGGAAGTGTTACGTTTTGCTTAGCTGGAACGCTGCTGGATTTGTTTGTTGTGAGGGATAATCAGGTCGTCGTTGAATTTAGTAGTGTCTGTTTTTCGATGATGGCGAGAGATTATGGAACAAAAATTTATAAATTCTTCTCTTATCTTTTATCTTTTGAGAGTCTTCTGTCACATTTTACAGTCAAAGAAAATATTTCTATATTTGTTGTTTTTACACAGACTTCAGGGAAAGTATTCTGGAAAGTGAAGGCATTCTGATTCACTAAACACACACATCTCCGTTTATTCAGTGATTGTTAACATTCACTAGGAAATGCTAACAATTATGCATTGGACCAGTGAATGTGGTATTTTAAAAAGATTTGTCGACTTTTTCTAGTAATTTCTAACATTCACTAGTGAAAGTAACATTTACTAAAGTTTGCCAGTAAAAGTTATTCTATTGCACAGGGCGAGTGTGGCGAGAAAGAATGTTGGTGGAAGTTAGAACAAATAAAAGTTTTAGGAATATTGGATCACAATATTCAAGTTGATCCACATATCTTAAAATTACAATTTACTTCTTTATTATATTCAACATTGAATGAATATTCATAAACATAAGGTTACTTATTGGTACAAGGTTTTTTAATAAAGTTCTTCATCATGGACAAAATAAAGTATGCCCGAATTTTCTTCAAAGGGAGTTAGATATTCGTTTTTTCAAACTCGCTATTTCAAGCATATCAAAACGTTTAATAAGTTCGTAGTCACTAGATTCTTTAATATCCTTTTCTCTTGTACTTTTAACTTTTGCTATGATTTTATTATATTGCAAAAATGAAAAAACAAGCACTATTAATATTCTTGTGAGTGCCTAGTTTACCTTAATTTTTCACAGAAAATGTCTTTACAACGATAACAAAACAATTATACATAACCACAAAAAGCAAAGCGAGTTTACGCCAGATGTATGTCAACGTTGCCAACGTTTAGCCCAATTTAATGTTATCCTTATATTGCCTATTATTCAACTTTTCCTTATTTATCCTTATATTTTAAAACATGTGGCAACCGCGCTAACTGAATCTTTCAAACTCACTACTATCGTCCAGAGAATGCTAGCATTCACTAGTAAAAGTTGGTTTCAAGAATAGCTATTGAACTTTTACTGGCGTAGTCTTAGGCAAATCAGTGAATGTGAGCTTTTACTAGTAATTGTTAACAATCACTGATTTCCAACTTTTACTGTAACATATATACTAAATGTAGCTTACTCACTCTACTTTTAACATACCACGATGAACAAAATCAAGACACATGTTTTACTGAATTAAGTATTATTAAAAAAGTTATCGTTAAGAGTTTTATGTTTTCTTATCAAAACTAAAATTCAGTATTTGTGTGTATTTGATTATAGGAAATATTTTCATTAATAATAGATCAAATCTTATATTAAAGAATAGTAAAAAGCTGTAGCTATTCATCATTTGTTCATGTATGAGACACATTTCTTTAATATTTTGTTACCTTTTTGTAGATAAGAGCGTGACATTGTTGAGGTAATACGCTTTTACTTTAAATTATAGTTAATTATTACTGATCAAACAAAATGTAATACAAGACTGTCTATATTTTGAAATATTTTCAATTTTTTTTACTGTACTTAAAAAACCATACTTACTGGTTTTGTTTTTGTTTTCATTCTTTGTCACAATAACCAAAATTTACAAACCAAAATAACATCAATGCGCTTCGAACGGTAGTCTCAAAGCTATTACCTAACACCTATCATCTCTGTTCGTTGTCTGATTCCCTCTTCCTAGTTAGCGAATATTTTAAAAATCAATAATATTATTTATGTATACAGAGTGTCTTAAAACTGAATGTATTGAATTTAAAGAAATATGTTTATTTTTCATCTCAGCGTACTCGTTGAGACTTTGTTGTAAAGATTTCATTCGTCAAGTATTGAAAAATTTCGACTAATTATGGTAACGATGCGGGATTGTTGCTCTAAATACTTTGGGTGAGCGTAGCAATCAACCAGGGCATGAGATTTACAAAAGTAACGAAAAGATAAATGAAATAGCCAAGCAAAGCTCAATAATGCTACCTGGGGCCTGTGAATGACCAAATCTCTAGAATGCTGGAGAAACTCGCCAGGGCAAACAGTTCATAGTAGAACATTAGCCAAAATTAACGGTAGTGCGATTCTAGGTAATAATCAATGATATTCCACTGACAGAGAGCTACATGTAGGGTTCAGTCTACAAGTTGCTAGGCTTTTTGAAAAGGATAGGACTAGAGACCTAAGGATCAGAAGAGGACTACAATAGATCTGAAAAGGTCGCAGTGGGGAAATGATAATAATAAAAATATACTAAACCAACTTTTTGACATCTCAAAGACATTAACTATTATTTTTCTTTGAACTTAAAAAAATTTCATAAATATATATATAATTTGGCTTCATAATATAAAAGAGCAAAATAATGTGCTTTTGGTAGCAAATCCTTTTAATTCGACCAGGAGAAACGAAAAAAAAAGCAGATTTAAAAAAGAGAAAAATACGCAGCATCTGTTTTAATTAGCCCAGTGGCAATACATGGTATCAACGGCAAATCTTAGGGATTTCGTCGGCGCCCGCTAATGGATCTCGACGGGGGTTCACCGGGGGTTGTTTTAAACGTTTTACGTTTGTAAATGAAAGCCGTGACGGTCCCCCCCACTCTTCCTCTTTACCCCCAAACTACGCCTTCGAAACGGCATTCGGGATTTTCATTAGGATCGGGAGTGAATCTCGGACGGCGAGTTACTTTATGCCCCCCCTTGCAGTCGGTTATGTCGACTTTGGCGGGTTTATTACTTTATATTTCACTAAATTGAGAAATATAGGCCGCTTAGTTGAAAACTGGGAGAGAGCTTTGCCGGAGATATTTCTCCGTCTTCTTTATTTTCTTCTGTACCATTAAAACATCACGAGGAAGAATCTTTTTCAAGCTGGTTAATATATTTCGTATCTCCATATTGAAAAATATTAATCAAGGGTTTTTAAAAAACAAGTTTTAAAATGTGAACTAAACAACAGCGTGGGTGAATACTTTGGAGATACCCAATCTTTAATCAATAACAATCTATACTAATATATAAAATCTTGAAGTGACTGACATACTGATTAATCACGATCTTGCTCAAACCACTCAACGTAAGAAGCTCAGTTTTGGCATACAGGTTGATTCTAGGGTATGTTTGATAAGAAGGGATTTTTCGAAATTCCAGTTCCAAGAGGGTGAAATCACCCCTCAAATATTACAATATTTTTTATTTAAAAAGCGGTCAAGTTTTCGAAAAAAACGCTTAAACACGTATATTTTATTTTGTTTTTTAGATATTTTAAGATTTTTTAAAAATGTATACAGGGTGTTTCGAAAAATCTGATCATTGATTAATCACGATCCTGCTTAAAGCGCTTGACGTAAAAAGCTGATTTTTGGAAAACAGATTGACTTTAGGGTGTAGAGGTTCGATAAGACGGAATTTTTCGAAACTCGAATTTTAAGGGGGTGAAACTATCCCTCAAATATTAAAATATTTTTTATTTAAAAACCGGTGAGTTTTTCGGAAAAACTCTTAAACACGTATATTTTATTTTCTTGTTTTACATATTTTAAGATTTTTTATAAATTTATACAGGGTGTGTCATAAAATATGACCATTCAGTAATCACGATTCTGACTTTTGGCAAATAGGCCAATTGTACTGTGGGGTGTAGATGTTCGATAAGGACGGGTTTCTCGAATCTCAAATTCCAAGAGGGTGAAAACGCCCCTCAAATATTACAATATTTGTTATTTAAAAAACGGTTAGTCTTTCGGGAAAACGCTTGGACAAGCATAATTTATTTATTTTTCTTTACATATTTTGAAATTTTTTTACAAAATCGTCCAAAAAGTTGGGTAATTTCTTAACCACGATTCTGCATAAACTGCTTGACGTAAAAAGCTTATTTTTGGCAAACGGATTTTTCGAAAGTCAAATTCCAACGAGATGAAACTACCCCTCAAATATTACCAAGTTATATAATAATATCGCCATATTGTTTTTTCTCATGCTGACATAAATGTGAGAAAATTTTATCCAGATTGTATGTTAATGGAAATTCTTGCTTTGCTTTATCATCACCATTACAAATAATTAATTCGATGCGAACGAAGTCGCTGGTACACGCTAGTTATTAATAAAACTCAAAATTTACGTACTACAGAAAATTAAAAAAATATTTCTATCGTGAACAAACACCTTATATATTTTTACTGTACTTAAAAAATCATAATAAAACTGTGGCTTCTCGAGAATAATTATCAAATATGATGATGTTCTTTATATAAAAGAAATATTATTAAGGTTAATTATAGGCTTAGCTATGCATAACTATACATATAACATTTGTATACTAAATTTATTTCTTTTTTTTTCAGATTACGTGAAGAAAGGTGTGATCCTGATAGACCTCTGCAACTAGATCAGAAACCTAGAGATTTAATTAGTCCCAGAAATGGTAAGTTCACATTATGATTAGTTTGGTTAATCTTCGGATGTCATAATTTCGGATGCCGTATTTTATTTTTTTTAAATTGGTTTAGATAATAATAATATATAATATATATATAGGATTAGGTTAGAAAAGATAGTATGTTTTTTAACAAAGAACTAAAAAAAATTCCAAATTATTATTTATATATTATATGGTATATTTTTCGCCAAAAAAACCATAATAGTGTTTCTGGGGTCGAAATATATTACCCCTAAAAATATTTGCACTTATTTAAGACTCACCTTGTATACAGGGTGGTCCGAACTGTATTCAGACCAACCTTCGCTCGGAAACTTCGGCAGCATACTCTGCAAATAAAAATAAGTAAAAAAGTTCGTATAAATGTATGTCCTAAAATGCTTAGTTTCGGAGATACAGGGTGTTGAAGTTTCATTTTATTTCGATTTTTTCCAAATAATTTCTGAAGTAACATCAATATTTGGATGAAAATTGGTGTTTTGAACATTTTTTGATATGAGAAATTTGGTTTTGATGTCAATATGACTCTTATTTCTAGGGGGCGCCACCTACATGTATTTTAACTGTTTTGACGAGTTTTTACGACGATTTTTGCGTAAAAAGGTGTCTTGGTAAAACTCGCTACGAGTTGGTTAGGTGAGTTGAATACCTGTCATCGTTGACATATTTGACATACATAAAACATATTTGACTAAATAGTTATTAGACTTAAATTATAAATTTGAAATGTTTTTGTGTCAAAAGTTCAACAGACTATTTTATCGCCATTTTTTGGCAGAAAAATTTATGATTAAGAATTTAAAAAGATCGAAAATTCCCAAATTTATTATTTCAGTCAAATAACTATCTATTCAACGCGTGTTTATTTTTTTGTCAATAATGACATGTATTGACTATTTCCATTCAAAATATCTTGAGTACGGTTGCTTGTAGCGATTTTTACCAAGAGATATTTTTTACGCAAAAAGTAACGAAAATGTATATTTTGTGACTCAATAGTTTTATACAGGTACGGACGAAAAGTTATTACTCTTCAAAACAATTAAAACACAAATAGGAGTCATATTGACATCAAAACATAGACAAACAAATAAAAAGAGACTGACAAATCTCATGGTAAAGAATGGGACCGCGTTCCCGTAGCGCATCTCAGAATAATAATTTTGAAACCAATTAGCAGGACCATGGCAAGACGTACGTCTTTATTGGTATCTTTCTTTATTATGTGTGCTTTATATGAAAAAGAAAGAGATAGGTATAAAACGTATCGTAAGACATTATCGCACATTCTGGCTGGCGGAAAATTTAAATTAGCCATTATTAGTAGTATTTTTTCATGCTGAAACTGAAAATTTTCACTTAAACTGATTTATTCCCTATACCACGTAAAGGGAACGTGGTATAGGGAATAAATCAGTGTAAGTGAAAATTTGCAGTTTCTTTTAGAACGAAAGAATACTACTATTATAAGGGAAATTATAAAAAAAAGCAAAAATTGTACTGTGTTATTAACATATTTATTTATACATAAAAATAAATAAACTTTTTATAATATAATAACAAAAAATAACAGTGTTTATTCCACCCACCTACCAATTTTAAATGCAGAAGAACTGGCTGTTGCAGGAAACGATCGGCCAATTTTTTTAAAGGGCATTAAAAATCTCATTTTCGAAAAAACTGCCTAATTGCAATAACAAAGTGAATATCCAAGCAAATAAGACTTTACGAGAATCATGATCCTGAACCATTTTCAAGTTCAGTTTTAATCCTAAAACAAAAGTAAAATAGGTATATTAATAAAGTTTCTGGTTACGTTAAGAGAGGTTCGAAATATTTTTGACACTACTCCTACTTTTTTCTTAATAAGATGATAAATATAACTACTTACTTTTATTTTACCGGGTGTCTTTAACATATCTATCAGACAAAGGGGGCACCAATACATATAAAAAATAGATGATACAGGCTCCTACAGCAAATAAAATAACAAAGAGTATAACCTAAAATTATAAGTAACAAAATATAAATACCTACATGAAATAAAGGAATTTGTTCCTTATCCATATTTATAAGTCAATAAAAGTTTAGAAAAAAAGGTAAATCACCAAAAAAAAAATTAACAAACATGACGAATTGTCATGATGTTGTCATCTTGGTTGTCATGATGACGAAAACAAAAGGCGATTGTTCTAATTCCTATTTAGAAATTACGTTTTATATGGCTGCTTCTTTCTCTCTTGTTATATTAGAATGAGATAGTGGGCCCAATAGACGCAATGCGCAGATCAACATAAATAGAACAAAATTTTGCGTTCTGAGTTGCGCTACGGGAACGCTGTCCCTCTCTTTGCCATTTAATTTGCCAGTCTCTTTTTATTTGTTTGTCTATGCATGGTCTATGCATCAGAATCAAAATTTGACATGCCAAAAAACTTCCAGACATCAGCAATTTTCATCCAAATATTGACGTTACTTGTAGTGATGGGTTGTTATTTAACTATCTGTTATTTTATAACAATTATTTAGAAATAACATAACGCAACCGTTACTGCTTTTAAAAAATAACAGATATAAAATAACAACACGCAGAGATCGAGTGTTCGTGAAACGAAGTCGGCGCTCTGCACCGCCACGAAATTCGATGCTGCTCGAAGCAATTCCAAAAAACAACTAGTATGGATGGAAAACCTATTATTTGGACAACGGGCGGAGGTCGAGATATTATGGCGCTGTATGTTTCAATACTTTGTTATTAAGTTTCAATATTTAAGTATTTATTTATTCTGAAAAATTTTCAGAATAATATTTTAAGATTTTTTAAAAATGTATACAGGGTGTTTTGAAAAATCTGGTCATTGATTAATCACGATCCTGCTTAAAGTCCTTGACGTAAAAAGCTGATTTTTGGAAAACGGATTGACTTTAGGGTGATAAGAAGGGATTTTTCGAAACTCAAATTCTACGGGGTGAAACCACCCTCAAATATTAGAATATTTTTTATTTAAAAACTGGTGAGTTTTTTGAAAAAACTCTTAAACACGTATATTTTATTTTGTTGTTTTACATATTCTGAGATTTTTACAAAATATATACAGGGTGTTTCATAAAATATGACCACTGAGTAATCACTATTCTGCTTAAACTGCTTGACGTTTAAAGCTGATTTTTGGTAAACGGATTGACTGTGGGGTGTAGAGGTGCGATAAGGAGGGATTTCTCGAATCTCAAATTCCAAGAGGGTGAAAACGCCCCTCAAATATTACAATATTTATTATTTAAAAACGGTTAGTCTTTCAGGGAAAACGATTGGACACGCATAATTTATTTTGTTTTTTTACATATTTTGAAATTTTTTAAAAAATAATACAGGGTGTTCCAAAAAGTTGAGTAATTGATTAACCACGATTCTGCTTAAACTGCTCGACGTTTAAAGCATGTTTTTGGCAAATGTGAGAAAATTTTATCCAGTTTGTATGTTAATGGAAATTCTTGCTTTGCTTTATCATCACCATTACAAATTAATAATTCGATGCGAACGAAGTCGCGGGTACAACTTAACAAGTATAGCACAGAATATACTAACGAAAAAGAAGCCCAAGTTCCTTGTAATAAATCGGTTCCATTTTCGTAACGCCATCTCTCGACATAGCTGACATTATAGGTTAGCCAAAGGGGTGCGGGGCCGGGGGGAATTGTAAAATACACTTTTTATTTTAATTATTTTTATTCGCTATTTGCAATTTTATTTTTAAAACATATTATGTGAAACAATCACATAATATGTCTTAAAAAATAAAATTACAAACAGAAACAAAAGGAATTAAATAATCTGAAAATCTACAAAGTTTATTGATAAAAAGTTAGGCTATGCAAATTGATAAGTATATTAAGTATAACCTCTTTGGTATAACATTGTTAAACAAACATTAACAAATCATAACATAGAAACAATCATAGAACTAAAAAAAGTACTATTACATAAAAACAGGTGATACAATACTTCAAAATTAATTTTAACATAATATCAAAACCGAAAAATCAAACTGCAAACACAACCACACTTATCACAACAGAAATTAACACACACTTCCACGGCAAATGTCCAAGAAAGACTGATCCACAAACTGATCATTCTGATTGGTCCTGGTCCGGTCGTAGCTCACGTCGTATTGTCGGTAAGCAAAATCCCTGTCCAAAAATTTGACGATCAGCGCCATCATCCGTCATAATTGGGAAACTTTTGCTGGAACCATTTTTAATATTTCACTTACATGGCCCTGAAGTATAGCTAGAGACGTGAGAAATATAAAATAAGAGACGCCCCCCGATGCGCAGTGGACATCCTACAAATTTGCTTCAATCAGATTTTTCGTAGCGTAACTGCATCTCTTTTCCGCCGAATGCGTTCTCCCTCTATCGTGTGCGCGACCGGTGCTATCCCCAAGTCTCTTCCTATATTTGTCAAACTGTACATGCTAGTTTAAGTGTAAAATTAATTCGAACTCTAGTGTGTAGTTGGTTTACTTATGAAGAATATACTACACATTTTCTTATATTGCTATTTTTTGACCGCAAATGGTAAAATCATAACGAAGAGCTTCTCGCCCGTCGAGTGAGATGCACCCTGTACACTGCTACGCAATTCAGAATCTACGCGGATCGAGGGGTAGGGCGTAGGTAGATCGGAATTTATAGATATAGACGAGTGGCGGCATTTTGGCTTTTTTATATCGCAATTTGTAAACAGCGCTTATTTGTAAACAACCCCCGTTTTTAGAGAGGTATTTTAGATAACAATCGATATTTAGAAATGTTGACACCCTGGAAATACTACCACCGAGCACGTCATTGTTGCAACTGCGTTAATACGCCTGGCGGTGACCGCCTCATATTCTTTCAGATATTTAGCAATAAAATAAAGAAACCTGTTATTTTTAAGCTGTTATTTTAAGCTGTTTTTTATAAATAACTATAACAGTTTC